ACCGAGTTTGGACACCTCTGCCCTAGACGATCTTAATCCAGCATTTGTACGATTCTGCCAATCATATTTTCAAGTTCAGGAGAGAAGCATAAAGGCGGCCGTACAAGTCTTAATGTTGTTTTACAAACATTGCATACAATGTGGACACCTCCAAAAGTGTTAAAAGTGTTGCATACTGTATTTATGAGGTATAATTTACCCAATACTGTCTGTTCTGTCTTCATGTAATGATATATTCACAGCCGCGAAATCACACGTGACGTGAGCTGACCGTGAGCTGTTACCACAGAGAGGGCGGGCACGTGCCTGTGAATGAAGTCTACTTTAGTGAACAGAACCTGCATAGGCTGTGAATAACAGGTAACAAAGTAGTAAATAACATTCAGTTTGTTGCACGGAGCAATCGTTTGAGAGCCACGCGTGAAGTATGAACCACACTTAGCAGTGAAAATGAAACCTAAAGCACGCACATCATTTCCATAATCACATCGTATTTTAGAGTTGCGATTACGACAGGCATTTAATGTTTGTCTTTCATAGGGAACACAGAGTTGTACACGAAAATAAATGTTTAACAGTGTCAGTATAACTACTGTAGCCTATATAATGTTGAACATAATGCAAGTGGGAATCTGATAATGACAAATGTCTGATTTTACCAGTAGAAAAAAAATAGTCTAGTAATGTTGTCAATGACAGATAGCAAGCAGGCCTGTGCAGAGACTTTCTAAGGGGCATGTGCAGCCAGGAAAAAAAGTAAAGTGGGTGTCGGGGGTGAATGAGGGGAGGTTTGGGGCGATCGCGAGCTGCACTTCAGTTCATTTTGGAAGGGCACTGTCTATTCAAGACTAAAAAGGGCATGTGCACTGCACAGGTTGAGCCCTATGTGTGCACATCCCTGACTTAAAGCATAGGTTTTAAACATAATAATTCGGTAATACTTTACAATAAGGTTCATTAGTTAATTCATTTACTAACATTAACTAATCACGAAAAACACATGTACAGCATTTATTAATCATAATTGAACATTGACTAATGCATCATTATCATCCAAACTTGTTAACATTAGTTAATGCACCATGAGTTAACATGAACTATCAATGAACAACTGTATTTTCATTAACTAACATGAACAAATACAGTAGTAGATGTATTGTTCATTATTTGTTCATGTTAGTTAATGCATTAATAAACATTAGCTAATGAACCTTATTGTAAAGTGTGACCAAGTCTATTCAAAATTGAGCATTTTAACCAACAGTAGACCTACATGTCATATTATTATTATTGTTTTTCCATGTGTTTGAGAAATAACAGTAATAATAGGCTACTCATATTAGCCTTTATTTTTACATCTACAGAATCGTGAGAAAATCCTGATCTTTATTTTAAGCAAAAGAACCGCCATTCTCATTATAGCCAGAATCGTGCAGCTCTAGGTGTTACCCAGTAATAGGTTGTGGCTGGAAGGGCATCCGCTGTGCAAAACATAGGCCGAAATAGTCAGCGGTTCATTCCGCTGTGACATCCTCTGATAAATAAGTGACTAAGCCAAAGGAAAATTAATATTTATTTTCAAAATGGGGTGTACTCATTTATGCTGAGCACTGTATGCAAACAATAGAAAGCTTCAAGCTTAATTAATATATTAGTGCTCATTGGGATAAGGGATGCTTTAAAAGTATGCAAATCTAAAAAACAAGTCAAAGGCCAAACAAGTGAAACAATTTCAAAAGCCTTTATTAACATGGATATTATATTATAGCTGTTTGGAAATAATTAATAGTTTTACATTGATTTGGATGATTTTGTAGGATCTGCATAAAATATCCAAAAAAATAAATGAAAACTTAAACAAATTAAAGCCCAAATGAAAACAACAAAACAAAGATACTGTAATAAAAATTAAATATGCATTATGTTTTTTGGTGGAATCCAACGATATTGAAGTATAGAAATTTAATAATCAAATCTAAAATAACCCGTATTCATTTTATAAGCAAAATTAATCTTCGTAACAGTGGCAAAACTCTTTTTAAAATTTGCTTTAAATCCTACAATCATAGACCTTAAAAACACATCCAAGTTAAAATCTTTCAAACTATTAGATTAAGGTTAAAATTCACAATGACTCCACGAATCATGTACTGCCCAATAAAAATGCAGGGTTCCACTCAACTGATTCATGTTGTCCCAAAACGATTTGAGTTCTCTTAAATTTAAGTGGATTAAACATCAAACAATTAAGTTGTCTCAGAAAAATATCAAGATTTACTTTTTGAGTATCTACATTCCTACTCTTACCTATGGTCATGAGCTTTTGGTCATGACGGAAAGGATAAGATTTTGGATACAAGCGGCCGAAATGAGTTTCCTTCACCAGGTGGCAGGGCACACCCTTATGGATAGGGTGAGTAGCTCTGACACCCGGGGGGAGCTCGGAGTAGAGCCGCTGATTCTTCACTGCAAGAGAAGTCAGCTGAGGTGGCGCGGACATCTGTTACAGATGCCTCCTGGACGCCTACTTAGTGAGGTGTTCCAGGCGTGTCCCACCGGGAGGAGGCCTCGGGAAGACCCAGGACACGCTGGAGGGACTATGTCTCTCGGCTGGCCTGGGAACGCCTCAGGATCCCCCCGGAGGAGCTGGAGAAAGTGTCTGGGGAGAGAGAAGTCTGGAGTTCTCTCCTAAGACTGCTGCCCCCGCAACCCGGCCCCAGAAGAGCGGCAGAAAATAAAAATGAATTGAGTATGAACTGTGGTTTCTGCTTTGTTATAATCCCAACATGACATTGCAGATCCTGCGAAGTGACTATTGCAGATGCGCACGTTGCAATATCGATGCTTAAACGATATATTGTGCAGCCCTAATGCACACATTTTCAGTCTGTCTTCCATCAATTGCCCCATGTAATTCTTTTCAGTAATTACACAATGTTTTACACAAAGAAATTCATTCAGCTTGTGCTTCACGATTGAGACCTGATATCATGATCATGGGACATTCATTGTCTTCCAAATGCTACATCATGATTTATCAAACACTAAAACAGTCAGTGTTTAATAAGAAAAAGCCTCTTTCACCGTCTTTCCATTAATGCCTTAAATTGATTCACACTTAACAAAATTAAAGCCTTTTTTAGAGCAATCCTATAAAGTTAATTAACGGCCAAGACTCTGGCGTACTGCTAACATTGACAGAAATACTGCTCGCTGAAAAGACACACTCTTTCTATTGCAAACCATTAGATTCACAACCAAGTCGTTTGACGACTTGTAAATATGTTTTATTTTACAAATGTTACATCCACAACCTGACAAAAGTCTTGTCGCCTATCTAAGTTTTAGGAAGAACAAACAATAACTTGACTTCTAGTTGATCATTTGTTATCAGATGTGGCTTATATGAAAAGCAAAGGCCTCTAAATTACACTTATTTTACCAAAATAAAATATGTTCAGGCCTTGTTTTTTTTATTATTTCATTAGGACAGTAAGGTCTAACTTTGCTTAGGCAAAAGTCTTTTCACTGGACAGAAATAATGTCCAGTATTGAATATAAAGTCCTGCTGCAGTGGAGACAGAATGAATATTGTGTCTGACTCCATCATGAGCTTGGAGGACTGCTGCCATACATCTCTGACATGACTCAAATCACTGATTAATAAAGTCATCTGGAATGGCAAAGAAAGCGTTCCTGCAGGACTCCCAGAGCTCATCAAGATGCTTTGGATTCATCTTCAATGCCTCCTTCATCTTACCCCAGACATGCTCAATAATGTTCATGTCTGGTGACTGGGCTGGCCAACCCTGGAGCGCCTTGACCTTCTTTGCTTTCAGGAACTTTGATGTGGAGGCTGAAGTAAGAAATGAGCGCTATCCTGCTGGAGAATTGTCCCTCTCCTGTGGTTTGTAATGTAATGGGCAGCACAAATGTCTTGAAACCTCAGGCTGTTGATGTTGATCATCTACTCTAGATCTCTCGCACGCCCCCATACTGAATGTAACCCCAAACCATGACTTTTCCTTCACCAAACTTGATTGATATCTGTGAGAATCTTGGGTGCATGCAGGTTCCAGTAGGTCTTCTGCAGTATTTGTGATGATTGGGATGCAGATCAACAGATGATTCATCAGAAAAATCAACCTTCTGCCACTTTTCAAAATGATCAACTAGAAGTCAAGTTATTATTTGTTGCTCTTACAACTGGGATCAACAACAAGATCTTTGTCAGGTAGTGTAGTTTCTGTTTCCTGCAAAAATTCTCAGCATCTAGTTTGCAATTGACACGTTTCTTGGCTGTTTATCTTTATTTATATGTAAATGTATTTTTGGTTATAACTCGTGTGCTTGTCAGTAGTTATGTGTAGATCTAGTGTTTTAGATTGTCGTGTCCGCTCTTTTTACTCCAAATAACTTCATTTAAAGGTGGCCCAAGCATGGAATTGTGTCCATTTTACAGTAAATTAGCATCAGCCCTGTATTATTGAGTAAATCGAACTCAACAAGAAC